GACTTTTCCTGCTGCAGAGGGTTTTGCTTCCCTGTTTGGTGGGCTTCCCATCTCACACAGCAGTTACAACCACTTGACATCAGATTTCAGGCTTCCTGGTTCTACCTCTAGGTGAGAGCTAGGGCTCTGATAAATGGCCTTCTGTGACCTCTGGTCCCTCTTAGTCCTCCTGTTCAGTTTTCTTCTGCTGAGTTACCCTCTCAAGCTCATTGCAGCTCAATCCTGCCTCAAGGCCTTTGCACTGTTTGGAGCACCCTCACGGCTCACGAATTTCTTTTCATCATTCTTTCCCACCTACACACACACACACACACACACACACACACACACACACACGCATACAGAAAAGACAGGCACAGAATGATCGAGTGCAAGAGCATAGTAAATATCCACACTGCTGTATATTTAATGACTAAAGCCAGTGCAAGGGAGACCGTCAGTGCTCAGCACAGGAAATGGATGGATGGATGGATGGATGGATGGATGGATCACTTGCTGGGAATCTGGAGATGCCAGTTTGTAATTGGCATCCTGGCTGGGTGACCTTGAATCTAGCTGTGGAAATCAGAACCTAGGACTTGGTATGGTGTTTCCCAAGGGGCCTACAAGTCCCAGTCTTCATTTCCCAGGCCCAGCTTGTGTGTGAACTAGGTGAGCTGTCCAACATTGGAACTGAGAATGGCTGGTTCTTTTGAAGGGTTGACATGAAGAGGTGTGTGGAGCAGAGGGTAGCCCACTTGGAGCCCTTGGCTTTGTCAGGCTCTGGTTCTTAGGGGAAGGCAGCTGCAGGCTTCAAAAGCAGTGTTCAGATGCCCTGGTCTTGCTGCCTGCATCTGTGGATCTCTGGAGCCTCAGCTGGCCCCAAGCCTCCCAACTGATGCATCCTTCAAGCAGCAACTTCAAGCAGTAGCTGGCTGAGATTGGTCAGCATGAACTACACAGTCACATGAAGGGAAGGGTTCTCCTGTGTTGCCCAGGGTTGTTTAAGCTTTCTGAACTTCCTTATCTGTGAAGTTTGGGGCATAAGGTTAGAGGGTCACCGTGAAGCTTGAGAAGTTCATGTAGAGTGCACAGCAACCTATCCAGCACATAGTAACTTATGTGTGCCAGACATTTAATTAACTAATCAGTTTTGAAACAGGGTCTCACTGTGTAGTCCTAGCTGGCCTTGAATTCAGAGACCCACCTGCCTGTGTCTCCAAGTGCTGAGATAAAAGGCGTGTGCCACTGGGTCCCACAGAATTAATTTTTTGTTGTTTTTTTTTGAGACAAGGTTTCTTTGTGTAGCTTTGAGGACCAGGCTGGCCTCGAACTCAGAGATCCACCTGCCTCTGCCTCCTGAGTGCTGGGATTAAAGGCGTGGACCACCACCTTCCGGCTTGAACTCAGGGCTTTGTACATGGTAGAGAGCATTTTACCACTGAACTATGTCCCCAGCCTGTGGGTATTATTGACTAGGGCAGTATCTAGCACATAGTAAATCTTCAAAAGACATTGGGTGTTAGGGCTGGAGACACAGAATGGACAAGCACTTTCCTAGCATGTGGGAGGCATTGCCTTTGCTCTGTAGTACTGACAAAGAATATATGGTAGCTACTTTCTCTCCATGAGGGGTGCGCCACTCATTTGGTAGGGAGCTATCTGTGCCCACAGAGAAACTTGTCACTTAGCAGGCAGGTAACATATCCATACAAGCAGTTAACATTTTTTTTTTTTTTAGGCAGGATCTCATTCTACTGTCTTGGCTAGCCTGTAACTCAATGTATAGACCAAGCTGGGCTCAAACTCACAGAAAGCTGTTTGCTTCTGTCTCCAGAGTGCTGGGATTAAAGGCTTGAACTGTCGTACCCTAAATTAATTAATTTTTGTTTGTTTGTTTTGAGACAGGGTTTGTCTGTGTAGCCTGGCTGTCCTGGAACTCACTCTGTAGACCAGGCTGGCCCTGAGTACACAGAGATCCACCTGTCTCTGCTTCCTGAGTACTGGAATTAAAGGTGTATGCCACCACTGCCCAGCTTAACTTAAGTTTTTTAGCTTTATTTTATGTCTTTGAGTCACACATATACATTTATTTATTTATTTATTTATTTATTTATTATGTATACAGTGTTCCACGTGCATGTATGCCTGAAGGACAGAAGAGGGCACCAGATCTCATAACCGATGGTTGTAAGCCACCATGTGGTTGCTGGGAATTGAACTCAGGACCTCTGGAAGAGCAGCCAGTGCTCTTAACCTCTGAGCCATTTGAGTCACACATATACATATGCACCATATGTGGTGTTCAGAAGAGGCATTGGAACTCCTGGAACTGGTACTAGGGATGGTTGTGAGCCACCATTTGGATGCTGGGGGCTGAACCTGGTTCTCTGGAGGAATAATAAATGTTCATAACTACTGAGCCATCTCTAGCCCCCACAGCTAACATTTTTAATAAGTGCTACACAGAAAATAATCTTGGGGAAGGACTGCTCTATCTGAGCTGTCCAGGAAGGTCCTGTGAGGAGGGAAGAACATTCCAGAGGAAATGAGCATTAAGTGCAAAGGCCCTGAGGTGGGAAAGAGTCACAGTTGTGTGGAAATTGCCATGAGGCCGATGTGATGCACGTAGAGGGGAGAGGAGAGTTTTGCAGATTGAGGCTGGGGACCTCAGCATAACTCAGGACATGGCCGGCCTAGAAGGCCAGTTGAGAGTTTGGATTCCGTTTGAAGCCGTCAGAGGGTTTCAGTCAGGGACATGACAAGATCTGATTTACAGTTGCAGAAAGTGGCTGTGACTTTGTAATGGACAGCAGGGTGACAAAGAAGACTGGCCATAGGGTGCCCCAGTAGGTTCGCTTCATGCTAAAGTCATGCCCTCACCAATATCCAGAACTTCTAGAACATTACAGGCCTAAAATGGAAGCGATGGCTTGAAGAGGGATGTGGAACCCTGTGGTTGGCAGCCTCCCTACCAGGAGGGAGGAGCGAGACACCCACAAGCTGTCCCTGGGGCCCCCTGGATCAGCCTGGAGTTAGTGTGTGTGTGTGCCCACGGGGGGGGGGGGGGAGGCACATGCTGATTTTTCCTCCCCTCATTCTTCTGGGTGTGGCTGCAGTATCATCTCCTTCAGGGATCTTTTTTATTCTGCAGCACACTTCACCATGTGTGGCAGTTCCCTGGGCTGTTTTCCCCAGTTGACCATAAGCCACATGGCAGAGAGACTTGTCATATTCATAGCCATTATTCTTGCTGTTTATTGAGAATGTTACCTGGCACAAAAAAGAACTCAGTAAATATTTGTGGAGCAACTGGCTGAATAGATGAATGAATGAATAGATGAATGAATGAATGAATGAATGAATGAATGAATGAATGAATGAAATTGCAGCATTGCCATGGATGGTTATCTCAAGTGGCAGCATCCTTAGTTGGTAATGACTTCCTGAAGTTCTGTGTCTACTAAAAGGACTCAGAGCTAAGGCTGCAGCTAAGTGCTAGGTCTGGAGGTTTCCCCCCACTCTTCCAGAGGACCCAGGTTTAATTCCTAGTACCTACATGTTGGCTTACAACCATCTCTAACCACCATTCAGGGTGTTCAGTATCTTCTTCTGGCTTCTTCAAGCACCAGGTATGTACATGGTGCACAGACGTGCATGTAGGTAAAATACCCATAGACAGGAAGTATTAAAATGCTGGGTACCGAGCTGGACACGGTGTTGTGCTCACATGCAGTCCTAGCTCTTGGCAGGAAGATGGCTTGAGTCCAAGGGTTCAGGGTCAGCCCAGGAAGCCCCCACCTTTCTCTGTTTTCATCTCTGTCATTTTGTCTCTCTCTCTGTTTGTTTGTTTGTTTTTTTAAAGATTTTATTTATTTATTATGTATACAACATTCTGCTTCCATGTACATCTCCACACCAGAAGAAGGCACCAGATCTCATAACGGATGGTTGTGAGCCACCATGTGGTTGCTGGGAATTGAACTTAGGACCTCTGGAAGAGCAGTCAGTGCTCTTAACCTCTGAGCCATCTCTCCGGCCCTCTCTCTTTGGGTTTTAATTACATTTTATTTATTTTGTTTTGTTTTTTATTGAGACAGGGTGTCTCTGTGTAACAGCCCTGGCTGCCCTGGAACTAGCTTTGTAGACCAGGATGGCCTGGAACTTGCAGAGATTCCTCTGCCTCTGCCCTCTGCCCTCTGCCCCCTGCCCTCTGCCCCCTGCCCTCTGCCTCTGCCTCTGCCTCTGCCTCCTGAGTGCTGGGGTTAAAGGTGTGTGCCACCACTGCTGGTTGATTGTGTGTGTGTGTGTGTGTGTGTGTGTGTGTGTGTGTGTGCGCGTGCGTGCGTGCGCACGTGCACACATGCACGCCCACGTGCCATGGCATGCATGTTAAGGTCAGAGGACGCCTTGTGAGAGTCATTTTTCTCCTTTCATCATATTGGTTGTAGGACCATCACGCTTGATAGCAAGCGTTTTTATATACTAAACCACCTCATTGGCCTGTTTTTGTTGTTGTTATTGTTATTTGTTGGTTTATTTGTTTTGTTTTTGGTTTTTTTGCATGTTTAAGACAAGGTCTCATATAAACCAGTTTAGCCTTGAATTTAGTATGTATGAAGAATGGCCTTGAACTCCTGATCTTCCTGCTTGGGCCTTCTGAGTGCTGGGAATACAGGTGTGTGCTGCCACAAAACAGAAGGCTAGGTCTGGTGTGTGTGTGTATTCAGGAGACGGATGGAGGCAGGAAAATCAAGAGTTCAAGGACAGTTTGAAAAGTTTCAGGCTATCTGGCAAGTTCCTGTTGGAAGAAGGAATGGGAGAAGAGGGACCTGCCTGCCAGCATGGGGTGAGGGAGAATATCTGTTGATCTCATCTGACATTGGAAACAGTCCAGGATGAATGAGAAATGTCTCCTCTGGGCACTTAAGGGGAAGTGTCTACACTTCAGGGAGGCTCTTTTCAAGAATATATATCTATCCAGGGAGCCTTGGGGTAATCTGAACTCTCTTCTCTTCTAGCTGTCCCTACCTGGCCAGCAAACTGACCCTGGCCATCCCCATCATCGCTGCCATCCTCTTCTTCTTCGTCATGAGCTGCCTCCTGCAGACCAGTTTTACTGACCCTGGCATCCTACCCCGGGCTACCACCTGTGAAGCAGCTGCCCTGGAGAAGCAGATTGGTGAGGCTCTTACTCCCAGCTCATGATAGCTCCACGTTCCTGGATGTGAGAAGAGGCTTGGTTTTCTCGTACTGCACTTTGCTAGGAATTCAGGGTGAGGAAGGCAGGCTGGAGCTGACGCTGTAGTAGAGAGACGATGATGAACAAGCAGGCAAATGAGTAAGAAAGAAAGAAATGCCGGCCGCGAGGGTGCCAGGCAGCGCTGTAAGCTGTCCTTGTATGTGTGACCGCTGATAGGCCATTAGCCTATGAGGTCAGTACTATTACTCTTTTCCTCTTCATTCATTTAAATGAGACAGAGAGAGTTTAAGTCCATAGTTCGAGATCACACAGCTGAAGCCAGGCAATGGTGGAGCACCCCTTTAATCCCAGCACTTGGGAGATAGAGGCAGGAGGATCTCTAAATTCCAGGACAGCTTGGTCTACAGAGTGAGTTCCAGGACAGCCAGAGCTACATAATTGAGACCCTGTCTTGAGGAAAACAAAACAAAAGCAAACAAGCAAAAAGATCACACAGTAAGTGTAAGGACTGTGATGCTTGATGCACCTCCAGGCAGCAGTTGGCCTGAGCCCCTGCTCTTAGATGTGTATAAACTCTTTTTTTTTTTTCCCCCAGACAAGGCATCATGTAGTCTAGGCTGGCCCACTGTGTAGCTGAGGATGGCCTTCATTTCTGACCTGTCTGCCTTTACCTCCTAAGTGCGGATTATAGGCATGCTCCCCACACTCAGCTGAATGTTTGTGCACTCCTTATTCATTCAGTCATGAAACATTTATTGAACCCCTGCTGTGCGCCATGAGTTATTCCAGATGCTGGTGACAGAGGAGTGGAGGAAACAGACAATAATCTCTGTCCTCGTGGAGGTCGAGGTGACATTCTAGGGAAAGGCAGTTAACAAATAAAGAGACTCGGGACATGGGGGGGGGTGCGCTATGAGGGAGGTAGTGTAGACCTGAGACTCAGGATGTGTGTGGGGAGGGTGCTATGAGGGAGGTGGTGTAGACCCGGGCAGGGGAATGAGCCACAGCAGCACGGGGCATGGGCTAGTTTAGCCTAGACGATCAGGACAAGCCCTAGATGCTGTGTGTGTCTGTCTACAGACAACATGGGGAAGGGAAAGGCTGGGTGCCCAGAAAGAACCTGCCTCCCAGGCCTCTGAGTAGCTAGCCCTTTATTCCTCCCAGGCCTCTGAGTAGCTAGCCCTTTATTCCTCCCAGAGGAGAGAGCTGTAGCCAGGGCCAGGACCTGCATCTCAGCTGGCCCCACCCCAGCTCCTTCCTGCTGAGAAGTGACTCGGATGTTTGCACACCTCCAGGGTTTCCGGTCATGGCTGGCTCCTTGCCCTAAGAAGGCAATATACACATAGGCTTTTAACCGCCTAACTGGCCTGGTGAGATCTAGTGACCTGTAAATGCCAGGGTCCAGACACATCCATCCCCAGGAATTATTTTTGCTGACTCTGGAGCAGCTAGGGAGAGCCCAGGAGAGGCTACCTTCATTGCCTCCTCCTCCTCCTTGGCCCAGGAAGGGGATGGAGCATGGGGGGGGGGTGCCACACCCGTGGTCTTCCTCTAGAAGCTAGCTTCCTTCCTCTTTGCACTGGTCTGGCCTCCCCTTATAGCTCCTCAGTGTATGACCTGGGCTGCTCACCAGCCACTGGGTTCACAGCTTCTTCAGGCAGGCTAATCCTGAGGCAGGATTATTGTGCAGTGTCTGGTTGCCTGGAATCCCCTGGCTTCTGAGCTGCTTGGCCAGTAGCAACAGTAATCCCTGTGTTTAGGGAGAGCTCAGATCCATGTCCAGTACTGTCCATTTTTATCCGCACAGATCTTCACATCTGCAGAAGGTATTCCCACATGTGTAAATACAGACTCCAAGCAAGGGGTCACAGGACCAAGGATTGAAGGGAAAGGGAGGGAGAAGGTGCCCTCCTCCCACACCCCAGCCTTTGTGTTTAGGGATGGTAGCAGGGGTATATCCCTCCTTCCTTTTATCTCCACTTTAATGTCCTGAATCCTGGGCCAGATCGTCTTATGATACATTCCCACAGGGCTACATGGTGGTCATAATGAAATTGTTCTTGGCTGTTAGGGCAAGGGCGATGAGGATATGAGTGTCTGGCTACCTTATCACCATGCAGGAACCTCATGTGGTATTGTCTAAAGAAAGGGATGGATGGAAGGATGACTGAGGAATGGGTGCCTCCTGGAAGCCCTTCTTGCTGAACTGGGGACATTTGAAAAGTTTTTGGTGTCTCCCGGGAATGACATGTGGGTTCATACAGTGAAATGCTGGTTCTACACAATGCTTCCTGGCAGCCAACTGGATGGCAAGAATCTTTTTATTTTCTTCCTTTTTTTTTTTTTTCTTTGTTTTGAGACAGGGTTTCTCTGTGTAGCCTTGATTGTCCTGGAACTCATTCTGTAGACCAGGCTGGCCTTAAACTCACAGAGGTCCACCTACCTCTGCCTCTTGAGTGGTGGGATTAAATGTGTGCGCCACCACTGCCCAGCTGAATGACAAGAATCTAAAGACAGAAATCTGACACAAAGCCTACCCTATGGGGTCAAGGCCAGTATTATATGGAGAGGTCTGACTGGAAGAGGCCTTGTAAGAGTTGGAAGAAATCAGGAGTGTCTTCTCTATGCAAGACTTTGAGAGGTGACAGTTGCTACCCTATGAATGTCCACTGGACTTAAGCACTAGAAGCTGTGTGAAGGGAACCCTCCAGGTAGTTAGGGGAGCAAAGAATGGACAGAGCAGGAGGGAGCAGGGCCAGGCATGGGGCCACTGAGCAGGCCGCATTAGCTGAGCATTCAGGAAGCCATGCTTGGAAGAGTGGTGTGGACTGGGAATTAGACTCATCTGGAAGAGTGGCAGCTGCTTGAACTGGACCTAGGTTTTGAAACATGTTCAGGAAGCTTCCACAGAGTTGAAGCACATTTTCCAGAAAGCATCTAAGGTCCCTGAGCCCTTCTGGCTCTGAAGTGAGTGTTCATAGGAACAGAAACTGATTGCAGCTCCAACAGAGACAGCAGGGGACCAGCTCCTCCCAGTTTGCCCAGCACTAAAACAGAAAAGTTTGAGAATTGAGAGCCTTTTCTTGGGAAAACGCCTGAGGTAAACTGAGGTAGTTCGTTCCCTTCATCTGAGGTCTGGGCTCATCAGCTGACAGGAAGCACTGCTAATCAGTTGCTAGAGTCAGAACTGTTCTAAGGTATTCCTGGTCCAGTGGGATTCACTTAGGCCCAGCAGCACTTAGGACAGACACAGAGTCTCTAGGGGTGTCCTGTGACGCTCACAGCCTGTCCTATCAGCTCACAGCATGTATGTACCTCTGGCTGACTGAGAGACCTTTTCAGGGCAGCTTGCCTCATCTCCCCAGGCTGGCTCAGGGCTCTGCTGACCCGGCCACCACTACTGCTTTTTCAGATTGGAATTTTGCCTCTGACCCTCCTCAGCTTAGAATCAGGGTGATTCCCTAGTGCCCCCAGCTTGCTTTCCTGAATAGTAGTCATTGGAATTCAGCTTGCATGGTTTTTGCCCTTCCCATATCCCAGCTCTACCTTCATTTCTTTTGTTCTTTTGAAATAGGGTCTCCCTGTGTATCCTTGGCAGGCCTGGATATGTATGGTCTCAGATAGAGACCAGGCTGGTTCTCCTCCTGCCTCTGTCTTTCCTGGGTGCTAGGATTACAGGCTCCTAGCCCACCTAACTTGCATCTTTTTTTTTTTTTTTTTTTTAAATTTCTGAGTGTTTTGCCTGCGTGTATATATGTGCACCATCCATGTTCATGCCTGGTATCTGCAGAGATCGGAAGAAGGCATCAGATCCTCTGGAGTTAATTTGGGTGGTTATGAGCTATCATGTGGGTACTGGGAACCAAACCTGAGTTCTTTGCAAGACTAACAAATGCTGTTAACCACTGAGCCATCTCTCCCATCATTTCTTTAGAGTTTTCCTTCAAATGGCTCACTTCTTTTGTTTTTGAGACAGGGTTTCACTGTGTACAGCCTTGGCTGTCCTGGAACTCACTTTGTAGACCAGGCAGGCCTTGAACTGGCAGAGACTGGCCTGCCTTTGCCTCCTGAGTGCTGGGGTTAAAGGCATGCGCCACCACCATCCCACAAATGGCTTACTTTTCTTTCTTTTCTTTCTTTTTTTTTTCCGAGACAGGGTTTCTCTGTGGCTTTGGAGCCTGTCCTGGAACTAGCTCTTGTAGCCCAGGCTGTCCTCGAACTCACAGAAATCCACCTGCCTCTGCCTCCCGAGTGCTGGGATTAAAGGCGTGCGCCACCACCGCCCAGCTCATGGCTTACTTTTTTATGAGACTGGTCTACATAGCAAGTTTCAGACCACCATAGTGAGACCCTGTGTAGCCCTTCCCCCAAAATAAACAACCACTTTGAAATACAGCCTTATGCTGGATAACAATGCTTTGGTCACCAACAAACCCCATATATAACTGCAGTCCCCAGCATGCCACCTGATGGAACCAGAGCCTTCTTAGTTTGTGTGAGTACTTTCTATGACATTTGTGTGGGGAAATCACCTACTGACACACTGCTCCCACATGACATGTGACTGTATATTTTAAGAGAGACATTTATGTAGGCCCCATGAGGACAAAGCCACGCTTACTTGCTCTGCATAGACTGTTGACCTGGAAGAGAAAGCCAGGTTGCAGAGCTCCTGCCATTATAGTGGCCATTGAAGCCAGGTACCTGGAGGTGTGTGAGCTTCTCAGCACAGGTGGAGATTTTCTCTTTGCTGGAGTAAAAGGATGCAGAGACTAGAAAGGGGAATAACTTTCTCGACCATGATTCATAAGCCTCGTGCAGGAAACTCCCTGCGGGGGCGGAGCCACAAGGAGGCCAGTTGCCGCAGCCCTTCCCCCACTTCCTCCCACTCCCCAGATCCCAGGGATGCCAGACCTCAGGGCCTCAGAGCCATTCCCTTTGCCCTCCCCATTCCTGGTGCTGGGTGCTGCCCCCCTATCCCTGCTGAGCTGGTGTCTGTACCTGGTGTATTGCCACCTGGTGGTTTATTTTAGTTTGTTTTTTGTTTGTTTGTTTTATTTTGTCTGAGGCAGGGTCTTATGTAGCTCAGGTTCACTAAAGATGACCGTGATGCTTCTGCACCCCCCCCCCCACCAGTGTGAACTGCACCCAGTTCACATGGTCTGGGAATCAGAGGCAGGGCTTTGTGATGTTAAGCAAACATGCTACCAGCTGAGCTTATATCCCCAGCCTGGTGTTAGGAGCACAGATACGTGATATCTTACCTGGCTCTCTTCTGTATTCCTGGTGATGCTGTTTAGAGTATTTTATTTGCTTGTTTTTATTTTGTTTTGGTTTTTTGAGACAGGATCTCAACCATGTGTTCTAGGCTGTCCTGGAACTCACTATATAGAGCAGGCTGGTCTCTAGCTCACTGCTTCCCAAGTGCTGGAATTAAAGCCATACACCATAGTTTCCCCCTCCCAATAGATGGATAATGTGCCAGTGTGGTTGTAACAAGGTTTGTGGGCGGCATATGTTACAGAGTGGTAAATACCTAATTATCATATTCATGAACCTACTCCAAAAAGAATTCTATTATTTTTGGGAGGTGGGGGGGTTTTTGTTTTGTTTTGAGGTAGAGTCTCACTATGTAGCTCCAGACTGGCTTCCAACTCAGAGAGATCCACCTGCCTCTGCCTCCCGAGTGCTGGGACTAAAGGTGTGCGCCACCATCGGCCTGGTTATTTTTTTTTAAATTATTTTATTTTATGCACGTTGGTATGAGGGTGTCAGATCCCCTGGAACTGGAACAGTCAGTTGTGGGCTGCCATTTGAGTGCTGGGAATTGACCCCTGGTCCTCTGGAAGGGCAGCCAGTGCTCTTAACCTCTAAGCTGTCTCTCCAGCCCCGCTTCTGTATTCTTAAGAGTATAGGCACCAGCCAGGTGGTGGTGGCGCACGCCTTTAATCCCAGCACTCGGGAGGCAGAGGTAGGTGGATCTCTGTGAGTTCGAGACCAGCCTGGTCTACAAGAGCTAGTTCCAGGACAGCCTCTAAAGCCACAGAGAAACCCTGTCTCGAAAAACAAAAAACAAAAAAGAAAAGAGTATAGGCACCAACATCAGTAATTGAGTAACTATGGGATAGGCTTTAATAAAAAAGTCATCTCTCATTTGCATGCAGTCTTACAAGGTTCATATTGCCCATTTTAGAAGTGAGGAAGCTGATCTAGAGGCTGACAGACTGACAGGCAGCCATGCTACATTTCAAAATGAAATCAAACTGGTCCCATGTCACCCCATGGTGGTGGCAGTGGCATTGACCCACACTGCTTTCTCCATGGCCATACGGTTACAGCCTCTGTGATCTTCCTGTGTCCCCAGGCCGTAAACTAAGCCTTGTAGGTGACAGGGTTCTGTCAGCCTCAGAAGTGGTCATGTGGAGATTACAGTGACCAGAAGTGGAAGGTTGGTTTATGGTTAACCTTGAGCTGGTGCTGGGGATAGGTACAAGCAACTGTGGCGACAGTTGGGTATCAGGCCGGCAGGACCTTCCTTCCTTAGGCTTTCTCTGGAGCTCAGACCAGTGGTAGATAGACCCCCTACTAACATGTGAAGCCCAGGGCTCTATGCCGAGTACTACAAAAGGAAAAGCCTTTCCAGTAGCCCCCTGCCTCCTTGATGGGATGGGGTCTAGTTCCACACCAGTCCTGGCTCCCATTGACAGCCCCAGCCCCTATTTTGAAGGTGCAATGGGTCCTGGCAGTACCTAGGCAGGAGGAAGGTATGGGAAAGGCCATTTGCTTCTCACAGCCAATGCACGATGGGGAGAGGCTGAGCCCCACTTCTTGAAATGACTTCCTCAAGAGTTTCCTGTCTGGAAGGCAGCACTGTGATCACCAGCGTGTGGGCATCAGTTTTCTTTCTTGGGGAAGAGTTAGTCATAGAGGAAAGCTCTGAAATACATTCTAGAGTTACTTCAGGTCAGGAAGCATCTGTCTCTGTCTCTCCCTGTGTCTCTGCCCCCCCCCACTCCTCCCTCCTCTCTCTCCAGAGTTTCTCTGTGTAGCCCTGGCTGTCCCGGAACTCACTCTGTAGACCAGGCTGGCCTCGAACTCACAGAGATCCACCTGACTCTGCCTCCTGAGCGCTGGGACTAAAGGTGTGCATCACCACCTGGCCAGGAACCATTTCTTAACAACTCCCTTCTTCCTTTACTGAGTATTTCTTAACCTCTCATGTGGTGGCCAGCGGATCCGAAGCCCACCTTACTGCATAGCAAGGCCTTGTCACACAACCTTGCATAGGGGTGTTTTGCCTGCACCATGTGTGTTTAGTGCCCACAGAGGTCAGAAGAGGGCATTGGATCTCCTGGCTCGGGAAGTTATAGATGGTTTTGAGGCACCATGGGTGCTGGAAATGGAGCTCAGGTCTTCTGGAGGAGCAGGCAGTGCTCTTAACTACTGAGCCATCTCTCCAGCTCCCAAACATTTAAAAATATATATTACTGTGGTGTGCCAAGCAGACATTGAATGAGCAGATATTTCTGGCTCATCTGTATGTATGGGCCCCTTAGCTACCACACCCAGGCCTTGTACAGTATCTTGCATGTAATGAATGCTTGTATTCGAAAGAATGAGCAAATTTATGTCTTGGGAAACATAGATTCTAATCTCAGCCCCACCCGCTAATATGGATAATTTTGGTTTTCCATGTGGGCTTGTGTCCTGCATGCCCTGTGATTCAGGGAGTCAGTCTCAGTATACCCTGTCTCGAAAAATAAACAAACAAACAAATAAAAAACTAAACAAAAAAAGACTGAGCTTTTGGGTAGAGTGGCAGTGGACGTGCTCTGAAGGTGACAAGTTCTCATGGTGGCAGCTGCAGGGCAGAGCAGGTGTTATGGGGCAGAGCAGGTGGTAGGTAGATGGGCTCATTGTTGCCCCTGCAAGCCTCCTTTGACCAAACTGTGACCTACCTGAGTGGCAGCTGTGCTCTGCTTCTTTGTTCCCTCTGGCTCTTGGCAGCTTCACTTCCTCTGTCATAGCTCTGGAGGGGAGGAGACCTCACCACCAGAGACTAGAACAGGCTGCTAGGAGCTCCCTCCCTCCCTTGTCCTGAGGAGGATCCCTGCAATACGCTGAGATTCCCAGTGGGATCTCTCAATACTAAAGAGGGTCTGTGTCTGCCCATCACTCCCAGATGGTTGTATTTCGGAGGTTGCTTTATAACTCCGTATGTGTCTGTTCTGTATTGTTCCTATAGCAGCAATAATAATGTTAGCTTATATTTACAAGGCTGGGCATCCCTCATCTGAAAATCCTAAGTGATTCAAAATCTGAGACCACAACCAGAAAATTTCACACCTGCCCTCACTTAGCAAATTGCAGTCAGAACACAGGTGTATTAAAAATAATCCATAAATTACCATCTGAAGCCAGATGAGGTAGCTCACATTGTTAATCCCAGCAGAGGCAAGCAGGTCTCTGTGAGTTCAAAGCCCACCTACAAAGTGAGATCCAGGCCATCCAGGGCTACACAGTGAGTCCCTGTGTTGAAACAATAATGAAAAAAAAATTACCTTCTATGTGTAAAACACCTGTATAAAACCTGTACGTAAGAGAATTTAATATGTCGCTTGAGTTCCACTCTCTAGACATGTCATAATGGGTATGTAGATATTCTAAAATCTGAAAAATGCCAAATCTAAAACATGTCTGGTCCTAGTATTTCAGATAAGGGGTGCACAGCCTCCCCTAGGCTCTTGCTAAATGCTAGACATTGTGTTAAACCCACTTAGTAAATTCTTTTTTTTTTTTAGATTTTATTTATTTATTTATTTTGAATATTTATTTATTAATTATGTGTACAGTGTTCAGCTTGCGTGTACGCCTGCAGGCCAGAAGCGGGCACCAAATCTCATTACAGATGGCCGTGAGGCACCATGTAGTTGCTGGGAATTGAACTCATGACCTTTGGAAGAGCGGGCAGTGCTCTTAACCTCTGAGGCATCTCTCCAGCCCAATTTTATTTATTTATTATGTATACAACATTCTGCTTCCATGTATATCTGCACACCAGAAGAGGGCACCAGATCTCATAACAGATGGTTGTGAGCCACCATGTGGTTGCTGGGAATTGAACTCAGGACCTCTGGAAGAGCGGTCGGTGCTCTTAACCTCTGAGCCGTCTCTCAAGCCCGGTAAATTCTTAGTTTGCCAGCAACCCGGGGGGAGGGGGGTGAAGTCAGTTCTGTTCTATTTTGTTTATTTTGAGCCGAGAAGCTGAATGACTTGATCTGTCTGACTAATAAATGGTTGGGCATAGATGTATATCCATATATCTTACCAGCTTGAAAGTTCCTGCACAAGGCAGGGAGACAGCAGTGGGTCAGGATTTGGGTCTGGTATAGAGTGTTGTCAGTAGCTTGGAAAGAGCTGGGCCTTTTGCCTGCAGGCATGGTATGGCCTGTTGGTCAGGACCAAGGTCAGTGACTGCTGGGACACCAGCGTTGTGCCTCAGGCTGCCTTCTTCTTCCAGCCTGACGGCAGCAGAGGGGATGGGACCACCTCATCTCTGTTTTACTGAGGAAGAAACTGAGGCTCAGAAGTGAAGGGACTTCCTCAGTAGCAAGTAGAATTCCAGGCGGGAAAGATTCAGACCCAGTGTTCTCAGCCTTCTTAGCCTGCGCCTTTTGGCGTTCCTGTGAATGGCTAAGTAGGGTTTTGTTTTTGTTTTTGTTTTTTTTGTTTTTTGTTTTTTTCGAGATAGGGTTTCTCTGTGTAGCTTCGGAGCCTATCCTGGCACTCTCTCTGGAGACCAGACTGGCCTCGAACTCACAGAGATATGCCAGCCTCTGCCTCCCGAGTGCTGTGATTAAAGGCGTGCGCCACCAACACCTGGCTAAGTAGGTTCTTAACAGCTGCCTGTTCTGGTGGTTTTACCCTTAGTCTTGGGCATTGTGGTGCTCATCTGCTTCTGTAGGCCAGGCAGCAGAGAAAGGTTGGGACTTGAACCCCCAGCCTGCCTTAGCCTTAAAGCTTGTCTTCTGCTTGCTGCCCCCTAGTTCTTCGCCCCAGGACTGCCCTTGTATTACCTTATTAGAGCACAGGCCTACCACAGCATCAAGCACTGACAGGTGTGCTCGGTGTAGCAGGAGCCTGCAAAGCCTGAAGTGGCTGCGAAGCATAATTGGAGATGAGGTTGGGCTTTGGTGACCCTGATGAAGGGAGAAAAAGGAAGGGGTCAGGGTTTCGCAGGGTTAGGGACAGGAAAACCAAAGCTGCAGCAGCTTGTTAGGGAAGGATGTGGGAGAAAGAAAGTCCCTGAACACACCTGCCTGTTGTGTTGTTCTTTGTGCTGTGGATGTAGCTGGTGGCCTTGCAAGCGCTTCCCAGGATGACTGGACTTGATTCCCCAGTACCTCATAGGGAAAATGTGCTGGGTGTGGTGGCACACGCTTTTAATCCCAACACTTGGAAAGCAGAGGTAGACAGATCTGTGAGTTCCAGGCAAGTCAGGGATACATAGGAAACTGTGTCTCAGGAAAAGGAAGGGAGGGAGGGAGGGAGGGAGGGAGGGAAAAAGGGAAGGAAAAGAAAAGGAAAGAAAGGTACTGGAGAGATGGCTCAGAGGTTAAGAGCACTAGCTGCTCTTCCAGAGGTCCTGAGTTCAATCCCCAGCAACCACATGGTGCCTCACAACCATCTATCATGAGATCTGGTGCCCTCTCCTGGTGTATAGGTGTACATGCAGGCAGAACACTGTATACATAATAAATAATTAACTCTTAAAAGGGGGTGGTCTGGGGGTGCAGCTCAGTTGGTAGAGTGCTTGTTTAGTACCACAAGCTCTGGGTTTGATCTCAGTACAAAAAAAAAAAAAAAAAAAAAAAAAAACCCTGGGTGAGACAGAGTCTTAGCACTTAGGAGATTGAGGCAGGCAGATCAAAGGTTCAAGATCATCCTGATACATAGTAAGCTTGAGGCCAGACAGGGTCTTTTGACCCTGTCAAAAGAATAAAGCTTGTCTCTGGATGGTGGTGGTACATGCCTTTAATCCCAGCACTCTGGAGGTGGAAGCAGGCTGATATCTCTAACAGCCTTGACTGTCCTGGCACTCACTCTGGAGACCAGGCTGGCCTCAACTCACAGAGGTCCACCTGCCTCTGCTTTCTGAGTGCTGGGATTAAAGGTGTGCACCACCAAAGCCCGGCTCATTTTTTTTTTTGGAAGATTTTATTTATTTATTAGACATACAACATTCTGCTCCCATGTATATCTGCACACCAGAAGAGGGCACCAGATCTCATAATGGATGGTTGTGAGCCACCATGTGGTTGCTGGGAATTGAACTCAGGACTCTGGAAGAGCAGTCAGTGCTCTTAACCTCTGAGCCATCTCTCCAGCCCCTTGTTTTTGTTTTTGTTTTGTTTTGTTTTTTTCACTTATTTATCCTGTATACAGTGTTCTGTCTACATGTATGCCTGCATACCAGAAGAGGGCACCAGATCTCATAATGGATGGTTGTGAGCCACCAAGTGGTTGCTGGGAATTGAACTCAGGAACTCTGGTGGAGCAACCAGTGCTCTTAACCTCTGAGCCATCTCTCCAGCTCTCTTAAGACTATGGGAAAGGATTTGGAGCTAAGAGATGCCTTGGAAGAGGTATGAGGAAGGATGCAGCTGAGTGTACAGGGACTGGGAGAGGGAGTTTTCTGGAGCAGCTCTTTGGTGATAAGGGCCTGGCCTGCACTGGGGCAATTCCAGTACAGAGCAAAGGACTGGAGAGACACACACAGACCTGATGATTGGCCAGGCAAAGATGAGGGGAAGGAAGTTGTCTGCAGAGTGGCTGCAGTAGTTACTTGTCACTGAACAAAATGCCTAAGAAAAGTAACTTAAAGGGAGGAGAGGAGAGGAGCAATTTCATTGGAGAGATGGCTCAGCGGTTAGGAGCACTGGCTGTTCTTCCCGAGGACCCGGGTTCAATTCCCATCACCCACATGGGAGCTCTCACTGTCTGTATCTCCTGTCTCAGGGGATCTGATGCGTTCCTCTGGCCTCCTGTACACCAGGCACATGTGGTGCACAAGCACTTATGCAAGCAAACCCCCCCCACATAAAATGAATAAATTCATTTTTTGCTTATTTGTCTTTTCTTTTTGAGACAGGGTTTAGCACCCTACTAAAGGTCATGGGCTCCAGGTATAAAACTCAGGTCATCAGGCTTGGTAATAGGCACCTTTACCCAGCCCTATTTATTTTTAGATTTTTAGTGTATATAGGTGTTTTGCCCAAGTATATATCTGTATGTACCCTGTATATGCCCTCAGAGGCCAGAAGTAGATGTTGGATCTTTTGGAACTAGACTTGGGAATAATTATAGCCACCATATTAGTGCTGGGAACTGAACCCTGGTATTCTGCAATAGCAGCAAGTGCTTTTAACCAACTGAATCACCTCTCCAGCCATTTATCTATTTATTTATTCATTCTTTCATTATTGTTTTTCCTTAAAGAATTTATTTATTATGTATACAACATTCTGCTTTCATGTATATCTGCACACCAGAAGAGGGCACCAGATCTCATAACGGATGGTTGTGAGCCACCATGTGGTTGCTGGGAATTGAACTCAGGTCCTCTGGAAGAGCAGTCAGTGTTCTTAACCTCTGAGCCATCTCTCCAGCCCCTCATTATTGGTTTTTTGAGATAGGGTTTCTCTGGCTTTGGAAGCCTGTCCTGGCACTCGCTCTATAGACCAGGTGGCCTCCAACTCACAGAGATCCACCTGCCTCTGCCTCCCAAGTGCTGGGATTAAAGGCATGCGCCACCAACGCCCGACCCCCCTTGTTTATTTTTAAGACAGAGTGTTTTATCTAGTCCATGTTGGCCTCAAATTTGTCATGCAGCTGAGGGCAGCCTAGATAGAATTCGTGATTTTCTTGCCTCTACCTCCCAAGCATAGGGACTGCAGGCATGCCCAGCTTGTACCTGGATCATTCCTATTATGTGTTTATTTGGGGGCGGCACTAGGGATTAAACCCAGGGATCTGGTATGCTGGGCAAAGCCTCCACCTTTGAGCTGCAACCCCACTATGATGCTGTAAAGTGTATTGAAGGATCTAAAACCTGAATTTTGAAACCTGGTTTTGCTGTGTACTGTGTGGCCTAGGGCAAGTCATTTAACGTGTTGAGCAAGTCTTAGCTGTAAAGTTGGGATGCTGAGAATGGTCTTAGAGCATGTGATGGGGTAACAGAGATGTGTCTGCCTGAGTTCAAGACTAGATTAAACTCAGAAATAATGCCCTATCTCAAAAGAGCAAACAACAGGATGAGGTATATGACTCAGTTGGTGGCTCATGTGCCCAACATGCATAAAGCTGGGTTCAGTTCCCAGCTCCACATAGAACCAGATGTGGTGGTTACAGGTCTGTAATTCCAGCATGTGAGAGGTGAGAGGATCAGAGCCATCCTTGGCTACATAGTGAGTATAAGGCCTGCCTGGCTACATGACATCCTGTCTCACAAAGAACCAAAAATGTATGCACCATTCTACTTGTTGGTTGTATTTTGCAAATTAGAAAGCTAAGTCACAGAGTTCAATTGACTCAACCTCTGGGCCCTAATCCTCTGCCCTTTCCTGCTTCCTGTTCTAGAGAGGAAGTCTTCAGGTGCTTAATTGCATTTTAAGCATGTGTGGTCAGGGTTATGGTAAGAGTCTCGGTGGTGGTTGGAACTGTGAGATCTTAATCCATGTGCGTCACTGGGCATGTGTTGTGCCTGGACTAGTGTCTAGCGCATTAGTTAGCTCTCAGACACTAGTCACTGGAGGTGAGCAGCCAAACTGGAGACTGTTCCGTAGACCCAGAGTCTAGGAGCTCAGTCAATGAATGTTCCCAAGCTGGCTGACTGCTCATGAGAGCTCAGTGTCCATATCAAAACAATAAGTAACTATGCTGGTGGCTCCAGCCCTTGGGATTCAGGAGAATCACTGTGAGCTCAAGGGCAGCCTGGCCTACATAGTGGGTTCCAGGAGCCAGGGATACATGGTGAGACCTTATTTTCTTTGTTTTTGGTTCTTTGAGACAGGTTTCTCTGTGTAGCTATGGCTGTCCTGGAACTTGCTCTGTAGATCAGGCTGGCCTGGAACTCAGAGATCTGTCTGCCTCTCCTCCCGAGTGCTGGGATAAAGGTGTGCACCACCACTGCCTGATCAGACAGGGTCTCTTTACACAGCCCTGGCTGTGCACAGACTCACAGAGATCCACTTGCCTTTGTCTCCCGAGTGCTGGGGTCAGAGGGATGCACCTGGCCGGCCACACACGGTTTTCATCTGACCACTGCGAGCATGTGAGTTCAGTTTGGAAACACACTCCAAACAGAACATGTGGAATTTGCAGACTTTGGGTAAACTTGTTGTTCCTTCCATTAAAAAACAAGCAAAAAGGTTGATGCAACAGGTAGTTCTTCTGTTACCTACTTCTGTCTTGCAGTGTGGTCAAGAAACATCTTTTTCTAAAAAAGAAAGAAAGAAAGAGGAGGAGGGAAAGAAACGTTGTAGTCTAGGCTGGCCTTGAACTTACAGTTTTCCAGTTTCATGTTGTCTGGGATTACAGGTACAAGCTACCATCCTAGCTCTGACATCCTCTTGGCATTGTTGGTTTTATTATATTTATAAGATTTTATTTTTAATTATGAGTGAGGGGAGGAGAGTGGCTGCCAGAAGAGAACTAGAATGTCAGGCGGTTATGAGCAGCTGTGTGAGATTTGAGCACAGTCCCAGGCCTGAATGGAGAGCTGGGTCTGTAAGCAGTTTGTAACGTTTGTCCTGCATTAGTGTGCTGTCCCCCGCTCCCTGTTCCTGGGCACATTCTCTCTGAGGTGCCTTCTGTCTCAGCCAGGTAGCTGTGGCTTCCCAGTGGCAAGGGCCATGGGCTGATTTGGGCATCCTCATTTTCTCTCTTCCCACCCTCAGACAACACAGGCAGCTCCACATACCGACCACCTCCTCGGACCCGGGAGGTGATAATCAATGGACAGATGGTGAAGCTCAAGTATTGCTTCACCTGTAAGATGTTTCGGCCACCCAGGACCTCACATTGCAGTGTCTGCGACAACTGTGTAGGTGAGTGGGAGGCCTCAGGGACCCCTGAGCGACTGCATCTTGGATGCTGGAAGTCACTTGAAGCATGACCAACAGCATCTAAAGTACTCAGGGCTGAGCCGGAAGGCTGGTTGGCCCAGATTGGCTGTGACACCTCTTGGCCCAGGGTTGCTATATCCTGTCCCCCTAGTCCCCAAGTATTTCAGCAGACAGAGCCCTTGACCATGTCTCCCAGCTTTAGTCTGCTCCTCAGTAGGCCCATGATCCCAGGAGCCTGGGGCAGTAACATGGAAGACAGAGGATGAGTTAATTGAGAAGGAAGGCAGGTGAGGTTCTGGAGGAGGGAGGTGGAGAGCCTGGACCACAACTGGAAGGTGGCTCTTGAACACCCTTGTCTGCTTGGTTTGTCCCCTCACCCTGCTCCTCGGAGGCTGTACAGCTTGATGAAGACCCATGATGGTCCCTTGGGAGGGTGTCATAAGGGAGAGTCTATATGACACCCAAGTGAGCTGAGCCATGGTGACAGTGCACAGTTCCCAGGGCAGTGACTTCATCTTGCCAGCTCAGCACTCCCTGAAGAGGAGAGCTGGGACAGCAGGCAGTGAAGTGGGTGACTCAGTGGGTGTTATTCATCCCTGCCAGTCTGCCCCACCTACCTCCTTAGAGGGCACCAGCAACGGGCTTATGACCTAGATTCCCACAGGGACTTTTCTCACCAGTCTGGGTGTGACTCCCACCCCCAGGGACTTAGTGCTGGTATGAGCTCAGTCCCTTGCCCTGGCCTCTGGTGCCAGCTCTCTGTGAGTTACCTAGCGGCCCAGCCCTCTCTGGGCCTTAGGCCAGAGCTGTTGGCATGTAACTAGTAATAGGCCACGGTCTATGAATCTTTGAACCAGACACTCTATTGGACCCTGGAGATTTCAAGGGTCTGAGGCCATCCATGTCTTGCGTGGATGTTGATACTTAAGGGCAAAGTTGTATAAAAGAGAAGTAACAGAGCAGGTGACGAGGGACCCCTACCTAGGTTGAGGCCATAGGAGACTTTTTAAGGGAGTGGCTTTGTAGTTGACATCTGAAGGAGTTACTATGGAGCTGAAAGAATAGACAGGGAATGTGTCAGGCCGTGGGTGGGAACTGTTGATCAAGGGCTAGAAGGAGGGTGTGTTCAGGGAGGGACGGGAGCCAGCTGTGTGGAGGGGGTGCAGGGATGGGAGAGTGCCAGCTGGGGGGAGGGCTAGCCACCAGTGACGGTTGGAGACCCACACTGACTCCTTCCTTTTCTAGAACGGTTTGACCATCACTGCCCCTGGGTGGGCAACTGTGTCGGGAGACGGAACTACCGCTTCTTTTATGCGTTTATCCTCTCTCTCTCCTTCCTGACGGCCTTCATCTTTGCCTGCGTGGTCACCCACCTGACTCTGCGTGAGTGGGGACAGCAAGGGGTGGAGGAGGACTGACCAGTGAGCTTAGCCCCAGCAAGGGGCTGTGGTCACCCCACCCTGAGCTGTGTCTTTGTTTCTTTCTTCCTAGGTTCTCAAGAAAGCAACTTCCTCTCCACTCTGAAAGAGAAACCAGCCAGATATCTTTTGCCAGTTATCCCCCTGGGTGGGAGCTGAGGCCTCCTCATGGGGCGGGTCTCCAGAGTGGATGGTAGGGCCATGCTTGTTCTCTAGAATTCACTCTGCCCGCTACTTTGTCAACACCCCGGCCAGGACTGGTCCTAAATGGATCGTCATGAGGCCGGGGTTGAGCAAGCACCCTCAGGAAACTGACCCTGTCTACAAAGGGGAAGCAGACCCTGTCTACAAAGGCCTAGCAAAGACTGTATTTCTCTTTCTCCCTCCCTCCCTCCCTTTCATGTGCATCGTTGTTTTTGCCTGTATGTATGTCTATATGAGGGTGTCAGGAGGTATAGACAGTTGTGAGCTGTCATGTGGATACTGGGAATTGAACCCCAGTCCTCTAGAAGAGCAGTCAGTGCTCTTAACTGCTGAGCTGTCTCTCCAACCGCAAGAGTATATTTCCTTTTTCTTTTTCTAGAACAGGGTTTCTCTGTGTGTAGTCCTGGCTGTACTAGAACTCACTTTGTAGAACAAGCTGGCCTCGAATTCAGAGATCTGCCTGTCTCTGCCTCCTGAGTGCTGGGATTAATGGCGTGAGCTATAGCCGCCTGGTTTAAAAGTGTATTTCTTAATTAAATTTTTGTTTATTTTTATCTTGCCTGGGTATGGTGGGGAGCATGCTTGTGCCACAGCACACAATTAGAGATGGGGGCAACTTGAAATTCAAACTCAGGTCACCAGACTTGAGTCAGGTCACCAGCCTGCATATTCCTTAGGATGCCAAGACCCTGGGGTTAGAATTCCTCTTACCTAGCGGGTGGTGGGGACGCCTGCCTTTAATCCCAGCACTTGGGAGACAGAGGCAGACGGATCCCTGTGAGTTGGAAGCCAGCCTGGTCTCCAGAGCGAGTTCTAGTACAGCTGGGGTTACACACAGAGAAACCCTGTTCTGGAAAAGCAAAAACAACAACAACAAAAGAATTTCCCCTTGCCATCCCTAGCCCATATCTTGACTTGCTCCTCAGAACTCTCACCCGTTTTGGGGGTGCAGAAGGTGAACTGACTCATATGAGAAGTGAGGACTGGGTCACAGAAAGGGTAGAATAGAAACCTGTCACTTCAGGGCCATAGCGCCAGGGAAGGGGGAGGGAGGGAGGAGGAGCACAGGGCCCCAGGGTCTCCACCCTCCCCTGCACACATGTCCTTGACAGTCCCATTGTGCTCGAGTTGGTCATCTGCTTCTTCTCGATCTGGTCCATCCTGGGCCTCTCAGGGTTCCACACTTACCTCGTCGCCTCCAACCTGACAACTAACGAAGATGTGAGTAGAGCTTAGTGGGGCTGGGGAGCCTGGGGTGGCTGGTTGTGGGCCTCCTGAGGGATCCAGGGCAGGGCTGGGGAGCCTGGGGTGGCTGAGTGTGGGCCTCCTGAGGGATCCAGGGCAGAAGCCTAATGTTAGACCCAGGGTTCCTACATGCTGCAGGTCCTTGGTGGAGCACCTATGCTGTCCTTCTTAGAACTCCACAGAGGCAGTAAGCACGCCAGACTTGTGTGCCAATGCCTTGCCACATAGCATCTTTGCCTTCCCTATGCTCTTGGAGCATTGCATCCTGCTGGTGACAGAACTGGGATACATATTGCCCATGCCTGGTATGACTGAGGGATGTGGTCGTATTGATGGGAAAGGTTCCTAGGTTATATGCATTGAGAGGCATTGTTAGAACAAAAGACGTGGTTCCCTTGACCCCTCCTACCTATTCCCTTGTAAGCCATCACCAGCTAGCATTATCTGAGAACCCACTGTTCCCAGTCCAGACATGACCTCCCCTTACAGTCCTTTATCCCATAAAAAGAAAGCAGTACTGATGCTCCCAGGGTTGCTGCATAGCACTGATCCAGAGACCCACCATCCAAAAGAACACATATGATAGGAGCAGAAATGACATCAGCCCTAATCCACCCCGTCACCAATGGGTTCCTGAGTGCTGGGTCTGCAGGATCTTCCTGGAGCTTACGCAGTAAGGGGTGTTTGACCCAGCAAGTGTGGACACTTATGGGTGACGGTCAAGTGGGTCTTTCCTGCTAAGCTCCTTGATGACTCCAGCAGAGGGCTTCCCAGACGCAGACTTCATCCAGAAATGATCTAAGGTCAGAGTGCTTCAGCCCGCTTTGTGCCCTCAGTCCTGCCCTCCCTCTTAGATAGTGTCCTAGTCAGCGTTACTATTGCTGTGACCAATCACCATGACCAAAAGCAAGTTGGGGAGGAAAGGATTTATTTGGCTTACACTTCCACATCACTGTTCATCGTCAGAGGAAGTCAGGGCAGGAACTCAAGCAAGGCAGGAACATGGAAGCAGGAGCTGATGCAGAGGCCAAGGAGGAGTGCTGCTTACTGGCTTGCTCAACCTACTTTCTTATAGAACCTAGGACCACCAGCCCAGGGATATCCCCACCCACAATGGACTGGGCCCTTCTCCATCAATCACTAGTTAAGAAAATACCTATAGCCGGATCTTATGGAGGTATTTTCTTAACTGAGGTTTCCTTCTTTCAGATAACGCTAGCTTGATTCAGGTTTATGTAAACCTATCTGGCACAGGTGGGAAACCAGGGGAGAGATGGTCTACCCAAATACCCTGCTGTGGAGACCTCCTTTTGGTTCTGTCGTCTGTGCTTGTTGGAGCCTGCTAGTCTCCGCTGGAACTGCTTACACCCATTGAAAGGCCTCCACTGAGGGCATGTTCCCTCCAGCATTCCATCCAGAGCTGGTTTCTAAATGGGACTCTCTCTGGCTTCTAGGTTCCATTTCTAGAGAGTGAGTCAAAAGGAAGCAGGAGTGACGGGAGTAGTTCACAGGAGGGTGCTTGCCTCGGTGCAGACAGGGTTAAAGATGGAGCTCAATGACTGGTTGATGCTTCATGTCAGTAATCCCTACACTGCTAGAGGGAGGCAGGATGGAAGGAGGTAGCTTACCCAGGCTTCCTCCCTTTCCAGATCAAAGGGTCCTGGTCCAGCAAGAGGGGCGGTGAGGCCTCTGTCAACCCCTACAGCCATAAAAGTATTATCACCAACTGCTGTGCTGTGCTCTGTGGCCCCCTACCTCCCAGGTAAGCCGGAACATGTAAGTGAGGTTACAGGGGAGGTGGCCCTGAGTCTGGCGCTCTCATGGGAGGTGTAGAGGTTCTGGACCTTGGCGGGCCTTTCTCCCTGTATGTGAACTCATTTGTAGAATAAAAAATAAGTGCAACCAGGCATGGTTGTCCATGCCCGTAATCCTAGCACTTGAAGGAGGATTGCTTTGTGTTCAGGGCCAGCCTATGGGGAAAAGTACAAAATATTAAAGATCATAGGGTATTCTGTGTAACCCTACTTCTCAGAGATACCACAATGACTGTCATGACCACACTTGGATGACATGCTCTTCCTGTTCTTGGGTGAAGCCACCACCCTCTCCCAGAACCTTACTCAGCCCTGCTGGGAAGCTCCATGCCAGTTCTGACAGCAGGGGGCGCCAGAGCTCCGGAACAGTAGTTAAATGGCCATGGGGACTTCGGGGACAAGATCTTCCTTACACAGATGTGCCCTGTCTGGGAACACAGGACCCTAGCCCTCTTACTGCCTTCAAATAGCTATTCTTTCTTACTTTTCTCTCACTCACAGCCTGGCTTCTTGGCACCCAGACAGCTGAGTCAGTTTGAATTAACAGTGAATAAACTTGGGAGGTAGAGGCAGGCCTATCAGAAGTTCAAGGTCATGCTCAGCTATACCCTCAAGAAGCAAGACTACTTGGGATCCTGTCTCAAAAAGAACAAAACAAAAGAGTTGGTATTGTGGCACTACTGCGTGTCTCTCCACTTTTTTTTTTTTTTTTTTTTTGAGACAGGGTTTTTCTTTTTGGCCCTCTCTTGGCTCCCACCTCCTTTTT